GGACCGCAAAAGTGAAGCTCCGCCACTGCGTTTTCTCAGCTCATGGTTGTCAGCTATCTCCCTTCCGCACCGGCGCGCTGCATGGGAGAGGCAGGAAATAACGCCATCTCCTCCCTTTCCGTCTTTCTTCCGTCTTTTACACCCGCTGATAATATGTCTCATTTTCGGAGGAAATAAGTCTTCATTAGGGGCAGTGGCGTCATTTCACTTGTGGAATTAATATCAGATTGGCCCCTTGGTCCTGCAGTGAGATTTCAGAATGTTTTGGGGGCTCTTTGAAATTTTTTGTCTTCTGCGGTCCTACAGTGAAATTTTCCCTTTATTTTAAGTCTTTCACTATAAATACAACTTATTTAAAATTTAAGATGCTTGTTACTATTTCATAAATATCCTAGGAACAAAAATACTCTTGAAGTTAATCTGAGTTTTATGATCAATGTTAATGCCAGTTAATCTAGATGTGATATTACAATGCTTTTGATACTCAAAGGCAACATTGTTCCGATGAATATTTTAGGATCACCAATTCTCCTCGTGAAATAATTCAGAGGTAAAGTTGTCTTTTTAACCTAATAGTAATTTAGAATCTTTTTATATTTATCGTTTTTGTGCTTATTATTAATGAGAAGTGAGGTTGAATGGTGTGCTCAATTTGGGGGAAAAGGAGTCCCAAATATAAACTTTTATTAAATTAAAAACTTGTAAATAATATAAATTGATGTTAATGAAAGTCTTTACTATATAGGCATTACCGGTACATACCCTTATATTTTCGAAGAATCTCCAAATTCATCATTACTATTCCTCTATCATTCCCTTTTCTTATTATATTCTCCGTATCTTTCTAATTATTTTTCAATGGAAGCATTGGCAAGACGACAGAAAGAATGGAATGGGTCGAGGAGAGTTAAATATCAAATTCAAGGTTAGCTAGTGAGAGAGTGAGAGTAATTGTTAGGATAATATATGAGAGTCGTGGCTGAAAAATGGATTCTTTATTCATTCCACTGTGTCCACTCAGTTAATTAAGTGTCCACTTAGTTAATTAAAAGTCACCTACCGACACTGCAATTCCAATTCATTGTGTATCTTAATCTCAGTTTCATTAGCTAATTAGCTAAAACTTTTAAATAAAAAAATGAGTATTCAAATGTAAGATCTTATAGAATATTATTATATTATTAAAATATAAATAATAAACATATTATCAAAATTTAATCTGGACAGTTTATAATCTAGTACAAAAAATTTGATTTATAAAATATTACATGTCAACCATCCCTTATTTTGATAGGATTCCCATTTAGAGAGTGCGAGTGATTTTTTTTTTTTTTTACCTTGAGTGTGAGTGATTGTTGGAATAATGTGTGAGAGAGAACAGATCAAAGTATTGCAAAGCATCTTCATCCTTATCTTGTTAAATTCACTGTGTCCACTTAGTTAATTAGAAAATTATTACTCCAATTCTTAATATACGATCTAATTGGAGAGTTGATATTGGTCTTCTATGTAGCAATTATTTCACATATTTATCAATGTTTTTTGCAAATGACCTTATTGATCTTTTTTCCCAATAATAATCAAGTAGGTAAGGGAGGGAGGGAATTACGGAAGAAGCTTAGAGTGTTTTAAAAAAATTATCATATTAACTAATTAACTAATATATCTAATTTACTCAAATTAATTAATTAGATCTTACGTTTAAAAAATTAGTAAGTTTCCGGGAAAAGTCTTAGAAATTGTAATTCCACAAGTGCTTCCAAGTTCATTCGTCTTGAAAAAGGAAAAGCAGATAGCCGCATTCATGGTCATTGTCCAAAGGAAAGCAGACAGCTGCATTCATGGGTCATCGCCCTCAAAAGTCTTGGTCTTCCCTTATCGAAAAGTTAGGCAAGAGGATTACTAAGAAGCTATTAATTGAAGTGACAGCGGAGAATAAAGAGAAAAACGCAAATTTAAATTTTTAGAAGAGTGCTTGTTGAGAGAGCTATTTCTTAATTACTTTAATTCTTTTAAAAAAATTCGTTTCAATTCCAATATTACTTGGAGGTATTTTGGTTCCACCTTATAAAAGTTATACAAGAGTATTAATTAACTTTTTTAGTTTCTTATCTTGTGAAACGCAATAAAATCAATAGATATAAATCTAGAGGACATGGTTTTCTATATATTGCACTAATTCTAAACAAAATAAGTTGTAAATTTTTTGTGAATTAACGTATAGATTTTATATTTTACGTGGGTTTCTATACAAAAATAAATTAAATTGGCTAGGATATATAAAATTTTCATTTATTTATTTTAATTTTTCCTTTCTTATGTTTTTTTCCTTTGATTTTATTTTCAACCCTTAATTCAATTTGGCTGTGATTTGGTTTCCTAATTTGATTAAAATTGTACTTTTCTCCCTTAATTTTCTCATCTTATTTACTCTACGCTAGCTAATGACAAATCTATGTTTTTGCATGCATTTTCATATATTTTTGATGGCTTTTTGTCATTATTATTGGTCCTTAATTGCATCATTTGAGTATAATTCACATTAGAATGCTTTAACTTGAATTAATGCATAATAGAGGTAAAATTGTTATAATCATGATTAATTGATTTTTAAGGACAATTAATGTTACCTTGCTTTTGAATTTTTGATTGCAGGTTTTTGGAGAATTAAAAATAATGAAGAAAAGAAAAGGGGAAAAAAAGGAAAAAGAATATAATAAAAAATAATTTAAAAAAAGGAGACGTTTTGCTCCCTCCCCAAAACCTACTATTCATCATCATGTTGAGTAGCGGTGGAAGACATATACGAACAGGGAGTGACGGCGGGAAGAAAGAAGAGGAGGTCCAGTGTGCGAGAGAGGGACTTTGAATCATTCTTCACTCCATATTCTTGAGTTTCAGCCAATTCCACCATCTTCCATCAATCTAATTCCACACCATCGCCACCGTCCTCCTCAATTACTTCCATCATCAGTGCCATGCCGCGAGACAGGAAGCCCATTCATCATCATCATTGTCTCTTTTATCTTCGTTTGTGTTATCTGTTATGGCTTTGATCGTTGAAGCATACGGTGGAGCTTCAATGATGCAGGGGCTTAGCTAAATCCTTCTATTCTCTAGAGCAATGGTTATGGCTTGAACTTAGAGTTTGAAAGGGGAGTTTCAACTCTTCCCATCTTTACTTCTTTCATTGTAATTGTGATCTCTAGGTCTTAGAATGAATTTTACAATGTTTGAATGTGCTGTGATGATTTATATTTGTATTGAGATTAGTTGTAGCTGCTGGAATCTTTGATTAGCATTTGATATTATGCTGTGATTAACTTTAATTTCTTTACATTGTACTTGGTTAGACTATGTTTTGAAATTGTTGTGAATATTCAGTGATAATTCAAGGTGGCTTGGTTATTGGACTAAAAATGTTAATTGCTTTACTTTGATTCTCTTTGGCTAATTGTGCTGAAACAATTTAATTGTGAGTAATTAATATACAAGGTGACTTAGTGTTGATTATTCTAATTAAACCGAGTCTAAAGGGTGGCCCTTAGACTCTTTTGAATTTAGCTAGCTTCTAAATTAATTGAAGTAATGATAGTCTTAATCATTGTGCTAGAAGATTGCTTTTCCATTCGCTTTTCCCTTTGATTTTATTTTCAACCCTTAATTCAATTTAGCTGTGATTTGGTTTCCTAATTTGATTAAAATTGTAATTTTCTCCCTTAATTTTCTCATCTTATCTACTCTATGCTAGCTAATAACCTCCTTGACACCCAATTATGATCCACTCAGAATCTTTTTCTAGAATATTTTAATTGGATGGAGTTATGCTAAAATATAATCATTTTTTAAATTAAGAGTACAGAAATAAAATTTGAAATAAATTAAAGTTAACAAAATAAATGGGAACAGAATGCATTGAAGGGATGAAAAACGAAACATTAAAGACAATTAAGGTAACAAAAGCATACTTCACCATATAAAGTAAAGGGTTATGTAGCATTCAACACTTTGAAATATTTTTTCACTAGCTATACTTTTTTCTTGGCGGGGCTTGAGACGTTCACTCTTTCAACTTTTAATTTCCACTTCAGTGTAGAGGTAGCTCACACTCACAACCTTCCTACTTGAAATTGAGATTGCCCAATTATCACATTACGCTTGCTCGTTATCAAAATGACCTTGCCATTTCTTTTTGGTTTTTCCAGACATTGATGTTTTCCTATTCGAAGTAATTCTGTTCTAGATACTGTCTTTATATAATTACCCCAAATTACTACTTTACAGACTTTTGTGACAAAAGAAACTTTAGAACCCTTTTATTCTCAATATATGTTCACTTTTTTTTTTCTTTGAAAGGAATATTAATCTTTAATTAGTATCAACCAAATCAAACTACTAATAAATCGATAAAAATTTGAATCAAATTTATTACGTATAAAACCAAATAGGACTACGTTGTAGGTTAATGGAAGGTAAATGATATATTGGAATCATTAATTGTTGGTGAATGGCTGAAAACCAACTCTTGATGTATTTTACGTGAAAATGAATATATTACTGAAAATTCATTGGCACTATCATTGTTGGTGACCGAATGTGTGTCTCTCAGCCGAGGCTAGAACTCGGGAGAAGAGTTGGAATTTGATGTATTTGATCTCAAAAATAAATTGCTCATGAGAATTTATGAGCTGCGAACTTGATGAAGCATGCTAGCGAATGACTGAGGCCCTGAAATTATTTGATGGGGATAAAGGATACTTTTCAAGTTTTGTAACATGTGATAGAACAAAATTTGTGGATGTGAACATAAACGATATGGATATTCTAAGTTGATCCAGAAATGTCAAAAAGGAATAATCTACAAATTACTGCACAGTTTTGAAATAAGGCTAATATATATATATATATATAGAGAGAGAGAGAGAGAGAGAGAGAGAGATCACAAATTGAAGTAGGCAAAATATACCCAGGTTCAAGAACATTAAAGTAGCCTCTATTTTCTAGTAAAGCATATGCATGCTTGGCTTGAACAGATGTCTTAAATAAAATGTTGAGTAAATGATGTCAAAAAAAAGATCAAATTGTGAAAATAAAAATATGGCTACTGGTAAAAATGAAAGAGCTGAGATGAAGATAGGAACCCACTTTAAGCCATGGTCATATGTTATGAAGAAAGCACTACTAAATGCTATCATCATGCTTGTTATGGAGATGAAGAGTGTTATCAATCCAAATATTAGCTTTGAGGGGAGGGAATGATGAAAGTCATACTCTGCATAACGTGATATGAGGATTGATAAGAAGATTAGTATGGAAGCCGAAGATGAGATCATTGCAATAGCATCTGATATAGCAAATATCATGAATGATCGTTTCTCCAAATAATTTGGAACTCCTGTATCATCGTTAACGCCACCTGGTATGCTAAATGCTGCAGTAAACACACCCGTAGCAATAAGAGTTGAAACAACCATGCATGACTTAGCTGTTCCCTTCATCCATGACTCAGCATCTTTCCGTAATGCAGTGTGCTCCTTAGTGAATAACTCACGAGGAGTTTCACCCTTGAAGTTTTTCCTCTTCATATATGATGGCAACACTATCTTCCTCACCTCCTGTCATGTCAAAGGGTTGTTCATAAATTAATTCATGTAAATAATCTAGTTTATGGGATCATCTAAATCACTTCATAGTTACTAGCTAAAAAGACAAAGTACCTCAAACCATAATAGTTCAAACTTCATTTGGAAAGCTGCTCCAGATACCAATTCAAGTCGGTTAGCTGGTGCTAACATTGCAGCCAAATGTAATATAGTGTTTGCACTATTTTTTTCTTTATATGACAATATGATATCCTTACTTCCACTCATATCATGGATGAGATTAAAGATTTTAGGATGACGATGTAAAACAGCAATATGAATTATAGTTTGTCTTTTGTCGTCCAATTGCCACATTAGATCAGGGTAAGACTTCATAAGCGCAGCTAAAAAGTCAAAGTTTCCAACTTTTGCTGCATCAAGTAGTAGTCTTGAAGGTTCATTTATGAGTTTCTTGACATCTTCCTTTGAGCTTGCACCCTTGAGAATTTCTTGCCACAAGAGATGAACGAGTTCAAGGGCAACACTATGCTTCGTACCTGAGACACAATTTGATGAATTAAATATCCCAAGTTAGAAGTTAGGCAATACACTACGTGCATACTGGGGGAAAGAGGCACTGATAGGTCACATGTGAAAACCAATTTTTTTATTCTTCCAAACAAGTAGGTACAAAGCTAATTAATTTAATTACCTAAACTTGTGGGTTGAATTTGTTGTTCTGGACTATAACTTCCCCAGTCTGCTGTCTGAGCCATGTAATGTAAACCTGTCATATCATCTTCATCCGTTGCAAATGCTAGTGCAGGCTTTTTTCTCAACATTTCCAATGCTAAACCTACATATGAAAATATGCAAGAAGTAGTCGAGAAAGGCAAATAAAAATCTAAAATTAGATGGTGTTTTCTGACAGTTCAATATGAAACATAAAGCTACCTATCAAGCTCAAATGCTTCATAAAAAATATGAATTTTTTCATTTAATATGTACTGGACTGTCCCCTATTGCACTTCTAATAATTAAGTGTATTTGATCGCGCTTTATATGCAACATACACTTACCATAAATGCCAGATTCGATGCAAGTGAGGAATAACTTCTTCCACTCTCCTTCATCAAAACTTTCATCAACAGTGGAAGAGTATAGATGGTCTGTCAAATCAGCTCTTCCTTGTAATGCAGCAAAAAGAATAGGAGTGAAACCTTTTCGACTTCTTATTTTTGGTAAGTATGGATTCTTTTCTAACATAAAGTCAACAATATCCAGATTTCCTGCAATAGTAGCAAAGGTGAAGGCAGTGTTTCCCATTTCGTCTTGGAGATCCAAGTCTATGTTGTTCTGACTCATCATGTTCGCAAGCTCCTTCACAAAGTGCAAATGGCCTGCTCCTGCTGCTACATGAAGTACTGTTGCCCATCCTTCGGCTATGGCAGTACTCAGAAGTGTTCTATTTTGGTCTAATATGGGCTTAGCTTTTTCCCAATTGCCTTCAGATGCATGCTTGTGAAGACGCACACATAAGTCGAAGTACGTCATTGTGGCCTCCGCTGAAACAAAAGTGTAATTCCATTGTGAAGTTCTCATATTAATTTTTTGGGATATGATTAATTCATGCGAAGCAGCTTAACAACAAGAATACTTCCAAATTAGAAGGTTAAAAATAAAAGTGAAAAGAAATTATGATTGTAAAGATGAGATGTGTGTTTTTATATCATTTTCAAGTCATGTATACGGATACATAAATGTAAAACAGAACATAAACTTTATCTTAATATCAAAGGATATTTGATGATACATATTAAATTGATTGTTTTGTTAGCGTCGTAGGAAAATAATGACGAACCACAAATAACCGAACACATTAGTGTTTTATTTGACATTGGAAAGAATGGAGAGATAATAGTTAATTATATGTACCCTGTAAAAGGTCAAGGGAAGGTCTCCTAAACTCTGCTGATTCAACCCTCCGTAGTAGGGATTTACTGCGTACTTTAGGAGAATCCGCTATATCACCATTTAATGCATCCATTACCTGCAAAATTATACACATTAATTAACACTTCACTATATTCAGTATCAACATGAGTTTTCTATAGTTTTTTTTTTTTTTGAAAAACAAGCACCTATTCCTGCCAACAAAAGGCTCTGTTTGGTACCGCAATGGAAAAGTACCTTATAAGTGGGATAAGTTAATTTGCACATTTGGGAGCTGTTTGGTTTTTTTTTTTTTTTTTTGACCTGACTGTTTGGTTGAGTTTTTAGCCAATCTAACTTGTGATTTAAGAGCTACTTTGTTAAGCATGATTGTAAAAGCACTTAAAACTTGCTTATGACTTATGCAAAAGCAGTTTTTTGCAATCAAAAGACATTTTTGCCCTTATGTTTATGTTGTTCTCATACTTCTTTCTACACATTCACTGTGCTTCCTGATTAGATTCTAATTATTTATTTTTAATACTCTCTGTAGTGAAAATAATTTTTAACATACTTTTTATAATTTTTTTTAATTTTTAATATTATTTTTTAGTTTGTGTTTACCTAAATTTTGCAGAGTATATCATCTAACTAATTATTTGGTTCAAAAATTTTCATATTATTATGATTTCTAATTTAAATATATTTTATTAATTAAATATAACTTCTTCCTATTATCATAATTTAAAATTATTATATTTTAGAAATTCATATTTTTAATCATTTTTCATTATTTAATAAAAGTTATATCCATTTTAGTTATTCTATAAACTAAACTTACTTATCCAATCATAATCCAAACAACTTTTCTACTTTACAAACTAACTATAAAAACCAATCTAAACATATATTATATTAGCCAATCTAACTTTTATCCAATCTCATTTTTCTAATCCAAATGAACCTAAAAACAGCACACACACAGATATATATATATATATATAAACATATATTTCTATGTATACTTTGATAATACGCGTACGCATCATATAGGCTCCTTCGAGTCCCAAATGTATAGTCCATTTCTAAATATAAGGACTCATTCCCTCTAATCTTCTACATTAAATTTTCATTCCCATAATATCCTTTGGATCTTTTTATCTTTACGCATTTAATTTTAAGAATTAAATGATATTTCTTTTGAAAAATTATTATAACTTAACTTTCTACTTACCAATTACAAAAAAAAAAAAAACTTACCTACTTTCCCTTTTGAAATTTATGAATTAGTTAAAAGGCCTTATATTTAGGGCTAAAGGGAGTAGATTTTTTGGTCAGTTGTGTGTGTGTGTGTGTGTGTGTTTGTGTTTGTGTGAATGATAACAATTAAATTGTTAATTATGACTAACTATGAGTGTTGACTTTTTTGAAAAGAAACTCTCCACTAGGGTTTCCTTTTGTTAACAGTGGTGATTAATTATTCGTAGGAAACATTCTGCTTGGGGACTTTCTAGCGTTTCCTACCCTTGCCTATGGAGGGTTCTCTCTTTAAAGGGACACAACCTTTGGTGTCAGCAGTCTATTGAAGGGCAGACTGGAGTATTATACTCCTTGTGTTGGTTTTTCTGTTGATTGGGAAGGAAAAATCAGAGTGGCACAACAGAATATTGGTTAGAGTTCTTGGAAGATGATGAGAGAATGAGGGGATTGGATCTCTGGCCTGGATATACAAGCCCGATCCTCATAATTTTTAGGCATAAACGGACTTAGTCTGTTTTTTCGGCTCTAGTCCTAAATTATATTTTAATGTATCTAGTACCCTAAAATATTTTTAGGTGCATCCAGTATTCTAAATTATTTTTTGGTATATCTAACACTCTAAAATGCTAAGCGTAAAATTGCACCAAAAAATCTTTAGGGTGCTGAACTGCTGGATGCATCACAAAATAAATTAATATACTAGATGCCCCTAAAAAATTATTTCAGGATGGTTGATGCAAGTTCACTCTTTTTAAGGGGAAAAAAAACATGTAGATACTTCCATAATACGTACCGATTATACGCGCGCGCTCCCTCACATTCCAAAAGTCTCCATTCAATAGTTTTTGTTTTGTTAGGATTCATTCCACCTAATCTCCTTTATTAAATTTTGGTTTAATATAATTTTTTATTCCTCAAGTTTGTCCTCATTTTGGTTTTAGTCCCTCAAGTTTTAAACCATAAGTTTTAGTCCTTTAAGGGACAAAATAGTCAAGATTTTTATGGAATTACAATGACTAATGTTTTAAATAAAAAGAAACTTGAGGGATAAAAACCTAAGGTAAAAATTTGAGAGACACAAACCAAAATGAGAGCAAACTTGAATGAACAAAATTGTATTAACTCTTAAATTTTCATTCCCATAATATCCTTATTTATTGGTTTTTTATCTTTACACATTAAATTTTAATCATAAAATTATTTTTTGAAAAAATTATTAAAATTAACTAAATCTCTACATATTAATTACTATTAAAAAATCAACTTACCTACCTTTCCTTTTGAAATCTGTGGAGTAGTTAAAAGACATTATATTTAGGGATAAAATGGGGTAGATTTTTTGGCTGAGTTTGTGTCAATGCAAAAAATGTCTTTGGAAGAAATACTCCAATTGGACTCAAAAGTACTCAAAATTGATGCTGTCAAATTGCTATATTAAAAAATCTATATAATTAGACAAAAATGAATTGAATCCTTTGTAATTTCAATAATAATCCTCCATACCTGTAAAAAGTTATGGGAAGGTCTTCTAAATTCAGCTGATCTGACCCTCCGTAATTGGGGGCGACTAGGTCCTTGAGGAGGATTTCTTGGATCTTGATTTGATGCACCCATTTTTCTGCAAAGTCATACACATTAATTAACAGTTCACTATATATACTCAATATCAGCATGTGAATTTCCTTTCAAATTTTTTTTATTAAAATAAGCACTTATTCCTCCTGATGACAAGTGTGATAATAAGATATACAGATATATTTAAATAATTAAAAAAAACATTTCTTGAAAAATTCCTCCGAACAAAAATTATTGCCCAAAGATATCTAAGAACTTAGGACTTAAAGGGAGTAGAACTCGTCTTCAATTATGTGCAATATAACCTTAGATATGCAAAAATGTTTTCTGTTTTGCATATAATTATATAGAGGTTATACATAGCTAAAATAGAGTTGTGCCCACTGAAGAGAGATTGCACCGATCCTTAAACAAATTTTTGAAGTCAAAGTAACTCTCTGCGTATTAATTATTACCAAAAAAATCAATAACTATAATCTACTTGTTTTTTAAAATTTGTGAATTAATTAAAAGGATCTTATATTTAGAACTATGAAGTAGATTTTTCGGTCAACTATAGATATGAATGATAATAATTAAATTGTTAATTATGACAAACCATGAGTGTTGACGATTTTTGACCTACAGTTAATGAAATCAAAGGGGTATCGGTGTTCGGGAAAATCAAGCAAGTTCAAGAAAGCAGCTCTGCACTCTAATGACTTCACTTACCAATGATTGATGATGTTGAAAAGCCTTTCTTTCAAAGTTTCCATTTTCAAAAATTTGCAAAGTAATTTGGTGAAACTGTACTCACTTAATCATAATTTCGTAAAGATTAAACCGTGAAAAGGACATTTATTTTTATACAAGTTTATTACTTCAGTCTTAAGATCTGTGTGATATATTTGACAAAAATGAATTAAGTCCTCTGTATAATTTCAATTATAATCCTCCATACCTGGAATTTCGACTGCAGCAGGAAATTTTCCTCTCGTAGCACTTGCCTAAAACCAGTTTCCAGAATCGAAGAGTTAGTTTTCTGGGAAATGATAATATAAAAATTACAATTCTTGAGGTATGCATAGAAAATGAGATTTAAAAGATCTGAGTCATATTTGAAAGTGACTCTCCGACATCTTTGATGAAATCATAAAGGTAGGCCAGGAGGAAGAAAGTTAAAGTAGAATGAAACGAAGTCGAAAACATACAAGTGAGATTTATTCAAGGAAATGCTTTTGCAAACAGATGAGCAATACGGCTACTGTTTACTGTTGAAGAAGATGAAGAATCTGTAGATGAACAGAGAAAGAAGACCCTTATTTTACCTTATGGAATGCCTTTATATGTTCTTTGCTTTTAGAGTGATATTGCTTAGTCCTTCGGTGGTGTGATGTGAGAGAATATATATATAGCGATGAGAGAGAACCTACGGGAGTGGTTCTTCTTAGTCAATCTAAGTATTAAGTCAATTCCAGTAGTTAAATAAATAGCACACGGAGGCCAAAAACAGTGGTTTCCGTCTTCTCCATATGGATGAGCCCCATTCACTTAGCTTTTTATCTTTTTTAAAAAGGCAATGATATGAACTAACTAATCATCTTTGTTGTCGTTGCTAAGTTTGATAATATCTTATGAGTAAAGATAAGTTGTAAATATATAAGTAACTATGCATATTTTAACCTAATTGAATAAGTTAAATTGCAATTTGTAAGCGTCTTCGATCTATCCCACTCATATTACTCTGTATATTTTATATTGATTATCATATAGGAGAACTTAAATTGCATTGAGATTTTAAGGTGATGAGATGCGATGAGATTAGGCGGTGAGTTTTAAATATCTCCTGTGGTTCCATACTTAGTCATGCAAGGGATAATGAGTTAGATTAGGAGTTTTATTTTAAGTCTTTCACAATAGTTTACAACCAAGTGCATCTGACCTCAGGTTATATAAATAAAAATAGTATATCTTACTGTAGAGAGAGGGACTTACAATTGCCCTAATTCCTTGTGAATTTTTTTTCGTTCATTCATTATTGCATTATGTTTCTTAAGATGCATTTAGGGAAAAAGCACTATGTCTGAAGGGATTGGTGCCTTGTTTGAAATTCAATTGATTTTATATGTCCCTTTATTCTTATTTATTTTCACAACAAACAGAGAAATTGGGCACCAAAACTCTGACCTAAGCCTGCCGCCTTTTAGAGGAGTGGAGACCTTACCACCCATTCTAGAGATAGAAGAAGAGAGTCTAAATTATATGGTTAAGTGGCAATTTTACCCTGAAATTATTACCTCTTGAGGAGCCCTTATAAGAACTTTGTCATGCTACGCTTTGAGATTCTCAATCAACAATTTAACCAACCGATACAATATTGTGTAACTTCAGGTCGTGTTCACTTTCGGAAACCTTTAGTGATGTCCTAAGATAACTAAACATCATAAAATGCAATAAAACGAGGTTTTGGCTTAGAAAAATAATTTAAGCTATAACTAAATGAATGCAATAAAATTAAACCCAGGTTACAATATTTTTGGTATTTTTATAATACTCTTCAAGAAATAGTTCAAAGGCAAGATTGTCTTTTAACCTGATAATTTAGAATTTTTTTTCACAACTGACCCAAAATTTATAAAAGTTTTGTACAATTTAGCCATAACTAAATGAGCAGTCATCATGATCGAATTAGAAGTGAGGTTGACTGATGATGTGGTTCATTTGGGGGAAAAAGAATCCCAGATAATATAAACTTTTCTTAGATCAAAAGCTTGCACGTAAATAACATGAGAGGTTATAAATTTTATATTTTCTATGGATGTTATTGAAAGTCTTCATTGTACATATAGTTATTACCATCATATGCCCTTTTATTTTCGAATCCCCAACTACGAGTTATCATTACTATGTCTCTTTCATTGCCTTTCATATCCTCCCTCGTTCTAACTATGTTTTAATGGAAACATTAACTACACGACAGCAAGAATGGAAAGGCTCGAGAAGACTTATCAAAGATCAAATTTAAGGGTGGTTAGTTAGAGAGTGAGAATAGTAATTGCTAGAATAATATATGAGAGGATGCCCTGTGTGTGTGTGTGTGTGTGTGTGAGAAACGTGGCTGATCAAAAGTAGGTTCTTTTTGTCGGGTAATATCTTCATCTTTATCTTTTCCAATTCCACTGTGTTCACTAGGTTAATTAGAAGTCACCAACACCGCAATCCCACTGCATCCAAATGTAATCCCATTTCCTCCTGTACATTATTAAAAAAAAAAAAAAGGAAAAAATCCTCTTATTCTAAAACACCTCCCAAAAAAATAGATTGCCTTTATATTGTAGATTACCAAATGATGTATTAATTTCATTTTTCCAAGATTTTGTTTTTTAACTTTCAAACAAAGCTAATGATTTATCCATTTCTCTTTGAATTTGATGAGGTAGTTAAATCTGCTTTATAATAAAAACCGAAAGGAGTAGATATATATAGATTCAAGAAATAAGTGTCATCATCCACGCAATTACCGTGGCACTTCCGATCTCTCTATCATAAATGTCCCCACGCATGTGACAACTTAATTACGATAATGATGCTTAATCCTATGACAAGGAAAAAGGTGAAAAATAAAGCAACAATTATTTGCTGTATAGTGGAAGGTTGAAGCCAATCTACATATCTCCGTATCATTTACACTCTAATAGAGATTGCAATAAAGGATATCATATTTGAAAACATGGTTTAAACCATAAATAAATACAGCATTGTACATTGGAAATGATTAGTGGGGGGGGGGGAATAAAAAATTACTCCACAAATCTCTTAACCATTTGAAAGGCATACATAAGCTCAAGCCATCATCATCTCCAAGTTCCTTAGCCGAGAAGATGAATGAGAAGGGGTCGAAAAGAAACTTATCGATTGATTTTTTTTAAAAAAAAAAAAATCCTTGCTTCGCAAAAATGAATGAATTAATGTCTCCAAAATTGACTGAATATATCAAGATAAATCACATAAAAGCTGTAATTAGCACAACCACATACCTACCTGTTACCTTTATGAACTAGTTGTTATAATATTATATTTAATTTCATTGGGTAATTGGAAAATTATATATAGTGTGAGGCTAAAATACACAAAACTCTCAAAAATTTGAATCAGTTCATATCATTTTCCTAATTTTGAAAAGTTTAAATTAAACATTCTAATGTTTTTGTATTTTTATTATAGAGTGTGTCATTTAATCAATAACAATTCGCAGGTCTTAGAATTACATGTCCAACTGTTATTTTTTTTAAGTGACACGATATCAATAGCATCTCATAATCCTTTTTCTTCTTTTCTTCTTTTCTTCTTAGAATCTGTTCTCCACCTTTAAATAAAAAAGTGAATGATTCAAATGCAATGTGTTATAAAATACTACTCCACCATTCATAAATATAAGACTCATTTTGTAGTGTAAATAATATTATTAAAATAAAAAGAAGATTATGAGAATATCGAGATCGGGCCGTTGTTGAGTTTAGTCCGAGAGTGAGAATGTTTGTTAGAATAATATATGAGAGAGAATAGACCAAATTCTTGTAAAGAATCTACATCCTTATCTTGGTAAATCCACTATGTCCACTTAATAAATTAGAAAATTATTACACGAAGCCGATGGTTTCCAGGAAACGTCCCCGAAAGTGTAATTCCACGAGCACTTCCAAATTCAATGGAAGAGGGGAATTAGCACATAGCTAGATTCATAGGTCATCACCCTCAAAAGTCTTGGTCTTCCACTATCAAAAGTTAACCAAAGTATTAGTGAAACCTATATTAATTCCTACATTTTCCAAGCTTTCATCCACAAACTGTCCCCACCTTTGGGACAACGATGCTTAACACTCTGACATGAAAAGATGAAAAATAAAGCAACAAAAATTTGCTGCGCGGTTAAAACCCTTCACTGTGTCTCCCGCTTTTTCACTTCTCAATCATTGAAACATTGTCATTTACGTCGGAAGGGGAATTTTTTTAGGGGGAAAAAAGCTTCTTATGACTTTGTCCTTCTTATGCTTTACTATATGAAACTGGTGCCTTTATCCAATAATTTGACCGGCCTCTTTGAGTTTGGCAGACCTTTAAAAGAACCCTTCGTTTCATCTCTAAATAAATGGAGTAATTATGAATCGGTTAAAGGAATGCTTATGGGTACGTAATTCGGAATATGTTTGTTGGTATATTCCTTTTTTTTTTTTGGACACAAGATGAAAATGCATTGAGAAACAAAAAGTAAGTTCAAATTAAAAAGTCAGAAAATAAAGATCCCTAGAGCCTATTTAGGAGTTAATCTAACTTTAGAAAACAAGAATAAGCTAAGCTGGGTAGTAACATTGGATGGTTGTCATTTGCAGAAGATTTATTTGCTCCTTCCATGAGCAAGAATTGTTTCTGAGCACGGTAAACCTGCAGCGGAGGGTGATGAGATCTAGAAAATAAGGTAGAGTTACAAATCAATTCTATCCATAAATACATATATATATATATATATCAAATTTTTATGAAACTATCGGGCCGTTTGGCTCAATTCTATCCTTACATACGATAATGCAATGCAATGTTTATTACAGTCACGTTAATTGTATGGGTCATTATTAAGAAGATGGGGTAAAAAATTATTTTTATATTTAATCAAACGAAAATAACAATGAAAAGTTCAGAATGCCCCTGAATCACAAGCACAAGAAATAAATTCTCTGTCATCCTCTCCCGTTTCGGCACCTCTTTCCGACAACGGCGAGCTTTTTTAATTATTATTATTATTACTACCAATCAATAGTCAAATTACAGACGAAAATTAAAGCCACAACTAGTACGGGACCTAGTTTCATAAAGAGATCAGCATTCAAAATAGAAATAAGATCTTGGAAACCATCTGATCTCCAAAGTTGGACCTCCTACTTCACAACCATGATCAATTTTTATTTCCTTCTACCATCAAGCTTGACCATCGTATTCAAAGTATTAAACTAACCTTGCTTTTCTCCATCAACCCTCTTCGTGCAACAAGTTGAAGAA